TGCTGTGAGTCGACTGCAGACTCCAGCTTCTCTACACGTTCAGCGACATCTTCCATCTGCTCTAGCGCGTCTGCATTCTGGCTGTAGATACGGTGCTTCAGCGCCAACCGCCAGAAGTAGTATCTCCGATCGTTTTCGTTGCTGGACTTTGCTTTTCTTGTGATTCGCGCCCGGTTTCGATTGTTTGGTGGGATGGTCGACAACAAGTGGAGCTCGATCATCCTGTAAAATTGTCTGCTCACAATCTTGGTTTCCACCCGAAGTGCTTCAAGGTCTTTACCGTTGCCAAGGATCTGGTCCCGCGGAATTGGTGAGTCCTTCCTTAGGGATTCAGGAGACAGATTGGAAGCAATTGACAGTTTCTGGAAAGCGGGCAATGTACGAAGATAGGTGATGTCGCTGTAATCCCGCATGGCATCGAAAGCTTCGCTCGGATCTTCAACTGGTATCTCGAAGATGAAGGGCTTGCTCACCAACTCCTGGAAGATAGTGTCGTATAAGCGGCTTCCAAGCGATTGACCTTGGTATGGAGGGATAATGAGAAACTGGGAGATGCGCTCCCTTGATGGCGTCTCGAGGAGGTTGAGCTTATTGGTGAAGAGGAACGTCTCGGGGTCTTGCGTCAAGCGAGGTGGCGTATATTTGCCCGCAGTGCCGTCGTTGCTATCGGCGGGTGATGGCAGTTGCTTTGTGGCACGAGCGATCTCGAAAGTAGGAAAGACCCAGGCGCGATATGACGTGGAGAAGCCGGCGAATGTGTAAGGAGAAAGTTGTGAATCTGACAACGGCGTCACGTCGTATAGAAGGTATAGCGTCCAGCGGTCGAGCGTCTCTTCGTCATCCAGACCGTCTATAGTCGCGCCCTCGATGAACAGCAGTGTCAGGATTCTCATATTCAACCAGATGCGCCTCGCATCGGGATCCGTCATGGAGGCCTTCCATATCTCGTACTGTTTTCCGTATAGGCTGAAGGTCTTCATACATTCGCCCGGTGGTTTCCAGTCTGAAGACGCAGCACCGGCAGCATCGTCGATCGACTCGGGGAGGAACTCGCGAAACAGCTCTGGTGATAGATCGATCTGATTCAGGTCTGGGGAGATTTTCTTGAGGTCGAGTTCCTGGTCGAATGAGATCTTCAGATTCGGCTTGAGGTCGTTTGCGCGGAAGTCCAGCTCGATGCTGGGGTTCTTGTACCCCGCGATGGTCTCGTTCTCTTCGATGACGGTGTATGTGTAGCTGGGGTGGAAGGAGTCGTCGTAGATGCGTTCGGGGCCGTCCGCGTTGGAGGTGCGGTAGAGGTTGATGTGGAAGCACTCGTTTGAGTTGGTGACCCCTACACAATGTTAGCAAAGTTACGCCGACGCTGCTCTTGCTACACCTTCGCGCAGCTCCCATGGCGCAACTTACAATCATCCAGATCGAGCTCCATGACGACGGCGTTTGTGCAATACCGTGTAATATGGAATGTGCGCTTGACTGACGCGGAGTATCTTCGCGACGTGGGTGGGGCGGTGGCAGTCGCGTGTAGCAACTAGATGATGGACGAGCAGCGCGCAAAGTGAAGGGAGCAGCTAGCGCGACGGGAGACGCGTTTTAGCGCAGCCCTACGTCGTCGCTCCCGCCCCTGCTCCCAAGCCTCAAGAAAGTTGCGCTATACGACCAACTTGTCCACATCAGCCTCACAACGCGCCAGCCCTCACCGCCAACACCACCACCACCACCCCAACTACCCTGCGACGGCCGACTCCTCGCGGCATGGATAGCGTCGATTGAACGTCTTACCACCCTTTTCCCTTTTCTGTGTACCCGGCGCATCTTTTCTTCATAAATCCGCTTAGGGGACGACTCTACACACGCTGCAACCATGTGGGACGGCCTGTTTATGCTGCTCGCCTTGAGCACAGTCATGGGTATTGCGTGCGTCTCTGGTCTCTACAATGTACAGGAGCGATTTCTAACACGCACAGCTCCTTCCTGGCCGGCATCCTGCCGCTCTCCTTTAACCTCTCCACCCGCCAATTGCGCATCATCACCCTCCTCGGCACTGGTGTGCTAGTAGGCACCTCCCTGATTGTTATCATACCCGAAGGCATCGAGACCATGTACAGCGCTGGAAGCAAGGCGCATGCGCACAGTGCGCGGAGTGTTCAACCTACCATCCCCTCGATCGTGAGCCTGCAAAAAGAGATACCTCACCCACCCAAGTTCCCGACTTGGAAGAGAGCAGATGATGTCGCCACGAACTCGCTCACTGGAGGAGCGGTCAAGGCGCCGGGCGCCGTCGACATGACTAGCGACAAAGCTGCCATCGATATGCAGTTGAAAAAGATCAAGGACAGCAAGGAGAAGGAGAAGCCTGTGGAGGATGCTCACCCGCAAAAAGGTGGAGACGACGACTCGACAGAAGGCCACAAAGAGGGACACACTCGCGTGCACGCACCGGAAGACGACGAACCAGCCCACGGGCATGCTGAAGCTGGCCACGAAGACGGGCCCAGCCCACATGCATACATCGGCGTTGCACTGATACTAGGTTACATTCTCATGTTCCTGGTCGAACATCTGCCAGAAGCCCTGGCTTCCGCGAAACCAAAGTACCAGCCAATGCACATTTCGTTATCAAACCTGGCACGTGGGCCGCACAACTCATCTTCATTGAGTCTCAACGGCATGGGCATGCAGAGCGCTGCAGTGACGCCTCTCGCAACGCCTGGTCTGCCTCCCCCACCTACAAAAAAGACACCAGCAGCCACAATCGGTCTCATTGTTCACGCATGCGCCGACGGAATCGCGCTAGGTGCCTCTTCTACAGCCGAGTCCACATCTCTGTCGCTCGTCATCTTCTTCGCCATCATGCTGCACAAGGCCCCTGCAGCATTTGGTCTCACATCTGTTCTTCTCAAACAAGGGCTTTCAAAACGAAAGGCGCGGACACATCTCGCTTTCTTCAGTTTAGCAGCGCCAGCAGGCGCTTTGGCTACTTGGACCATCGTACACATGTTCGGACGCAACCACCTGGGTGGTGATGAAGGCTTAACATGGGCGACTGGCTGGGTATTGTGCTTCTCTGGTGGAACATTTTTGTAAGTCCACAGATCCGCCCTACCGCTTTCTGATTTACTAACCTGACGCAGGTATGTCGCCATGCACTCCATGTCTGAAGCCACAGCCTCTCAACACCCGCACGAAGACCCGACCGCGAACGGTTACATGGACGCATATCCCGGTAACAGCAACATGTCCAAGGGCGACATAAGTATCGTCATGATTGGCATGCTACTCCCGCTTATCACGCAAATAGGACACGCACACTCACACGGCCATTAGAAGGAGAAGGATATGGGTTGCATATTGTGGCGTTCCACACAGGCTGGTTTCGCACCAAGCTATCTTACTTGTTTTATAGCGATGTTGTCGAATTAGTTTATGTACCGTTCTGGAATGATACCAAATCTTGATCACACCTCATCCTATCCATTTGATAGTCGGTTTAAATTCTGGCCAGCGCTCAATCAAAATGCTCATGTAGTCTTCGTATCAAGATCGCTATGCTCGTGCACCTCCATCCCCCGCCTTTGCACCAACCACCCTGTTCTTGACCCTTTCAGGCTCGTCGGCCCCACCCCGCCTCATTCCATACATCCACCTCGTCCTCCTGTCTTTCACAAGTGGCCATCTCGAGACTTTACAAGCAAGTGTTTCTCTTGTTCAATCTAGTCTTGACGCACTGCTCCCCTTTCCACCCAGCTTCTGCTATGACGAATCGTTCAGTCGTAGCAAGCAAGTTCGAGAAGGTGCTGTATGAGATGGACGTGGTCACACCAAGGACACAATCGTTTCGAGGGCGAAGACGTATGTGTTGGATGTAGAAGTGTTGGGAGTGCTGTATTTGGCCGTCATCTGTGAGGATCGTGCGCCGCTATAGCGCGATGGGTGAGTTGTGCTAGCAATATTCATGATACGGGTCAAGGTCCATGGAGGTCGAAAGGAGCCCGGGATGCAGGATCTCTTGTAGCGATGGCGTCGATACTGATGATAAAGCGAGCTCGTGGTATCCTTGGTAGCGAAAACAGAGACGTAGGAAATCGAAAAGTGTTATTTGGACGAGAGGTCCGAGTCGTTGTCAGGACCCGGGGCGTTGAGAAACCTCGTGCTCAGGCCTAACAATCCAAGACCAATGCCCTGCGCTCTCTTTCTTGTCTTTACTTTCGCAAGTCCGTCACAACCCCCTCCCTTCTCGCACAAAGTCAATCATCTTCCTCACCAAGGCATAGCCTCCGCCCCGAAATCCACCCTTTGCGCCGCATACCCTCTATCCTGCCATGTCTCTTCCTCCTCCTCCTCCAATTCCTGTCCAACACCCCACCTCTTCTTAACCTTCTTAACAGCAAATCGCCCAATACCCCAAACCGTCGCCGCGAAAATCGTGCCCGCAATGCCCGTTGGCGCCAACACGAACCCCGCCCCACTGACCACTGTGCCGAAAGCTCCAGCGCCTATCGTCGCAACCAGTGACCCGATCGCAACGTATTTCGCATATCGGACGAGTTTCCAGAACGCGAATATCACGCCGGAGCGGAGGACGCGGAGGAGTGCGCGCGTGCGGCGTGAGGATACGGCGTTGGGCGCGGTCTTGGGGTCGTAGAGGTAGCGTAGATTGCGCCGTGTTGAGGCGAGTGCGGAGCGGGAGCGCGCATCTATTTCCTGTTCGTGGGCGTCTGTGGAAGACATTTTGGGGCGGGTTGCGATTGGTGGTGGCAGCTGTTGTGGTACGAGATGGCGTTTGGGAAGGAAGTTTGCAAAAAGCGATGACGTCATTGGGCATTAAGATCGAAGCCGTAGATCTTAGGACATGGTGATTTGGACAACAATGTGATTTTGTAAAACTTGTACATGTAGGTTACTTGGCTCTTGCATGAGCATCCTGAGGTATGAGATCACTCGCTCATAGACTTCGATCTCGATACCATATTATCCTGGCTTCCTCTCGCGCCCGTCACCTACTCTGGTTTCTCCTTCTTGACTTCTTTCATCTTCGCTTCCATCTTTACTTTCTCACCCTTGACCCTCGGTTCCGCCCTTATGTGCACCTCCACTTCCTCCAGCCCCATGTCTACCTCGACCAAGTCCAACCCGCCATGAAGCTCCAGTCTCTCCCTCTTGCCTTCCTCCACACGCCCGAACTCCTCCTCCACGTCCTGTAGCCTCTCTCTCTCCAGCTCCTGTTCTTCCTGCAGAGTGCGCCTACCCACCGGGTGAGCGCTGTGGTTAGACGTATTTAACTCCAGTAAAGACCAAGCGAACCTCCATCCAGTCACTGGATCTAGGATTGCTGCACGGAAAGCCACACCGGTCATCTCGTGTATCAGGCGTGGCTTTTGGCCGTCTGGTTTGTGTATTTCCGTGTCAACAAAGTGGTCGATGTCCTCTTGCACAATCCTTTCGGCCAGGTGTTTGTGTTCATCAGCTGCGATGATACTTAGTCGTATATCTGAGTCGGGGTCGTCCCAGCAGCGTACGGTGATTTTCATATGGCGAGTGTAGGGAGCTAGCGCGAAAAGAGCAGAGGCGTAGATCCATTCATGTCTTTGTATTTCGTTGCCGTGTTGGTCAAAGAGCGGTTCGGGCTGGATGTCATCTTCTCGTTCCCATCCTGATGGCTCGTCGGCGTAGGTGATAGCGCATAGATTGATTACCGGCTGATAAGCCGCATCGGTTATAACGCGTATGGCTAGGTAGAGGGGCGTTGGTGCGCCAGGGAGGGCTTGAGCGCTTGTAGACATAGTGAAGAATGGGTGATGGGTACAGGTGCAGGTGTTGTTACAGCTACCGAAGAACTAAACATATCAAGACTGAAATAGTCCATGGGCCCTGATAGCGTCATGTGTTCGGGCCATGAGTCTCTCGTTTCCCTTCACTACTGCTCATGATATCATTTGCCCCCTTCTGTCCCTCCGCACTGTCCGCTGTTTCCAAGCTATTCATTAAATACCCTTGTGGAACGTCTTCCTTCTTCCTCGCTCTCACATGTGGGGTGTCCTTGTCGCATTACTGAAGGCCTTTGGACGCTTTCTACGCGTGATCCTCCTCAGTTAAATGGTATTATTCTCGTGCTGACATCGAATGGCATAAGATCAGGTGACATTGTTGGAAAGGATCTCAACGTTGCATACGCTTCAGTCTTTCTTCAGCAGCCCTAGCACGCCGTTCTCTTTCCATCCTAGCTCGTGCTTCTGGCGTTAGCCCCCTCATCTCTTCCTCTCTCAAGTCTGCTCCAGTCTTGACAGGTAGTGCACCCAACGACTTGCCCTTGCCCAACCTCTGCTCCTTTTTCCTGATTTCCTCGGCCTCACTCTCTTTCCGCACACGTTCGGTATCAGCCTTCCGTCGTTCAGCTTCAGCCTTACTCTCAGCAGCCTTCTCGGTCTTCTCTTGAGCGTCTCGCTTGTCGGCCTCGGCTTTGGTGATGGCTGCAGGTATACCGGCCTTCTCCCAATCCCAGGCAGACTCTCCGAGTTCTGAGCGTGCGACGCGAAATGCGTCACGAGCTGCACGGTCACCAGTCAGCGTGAAAGGAGTTCGCGCTTCATCATTCATCACAGTCGGATCGGCCCCGGCCTTCGTGATGAGCGCGAGGATGATAGGAGCAGAATTCAGGGATGCAGCAAGATGTAGTGGTGTCGGTGTGTGATGGTTGGTCGGGAGAAACTGGAAGTTTGGTGAAACTTCATTCGTCTTGAGGTAGTTTAGAAGCGCGGGAACTTTAGAACGCTTGATTATCGGTATAACCTGGGACGTGTGTAATGTCGCTGCCTCTTCTTCCTTCGTCAACTTTTTGGGCTTGGGTTTCGCTGGAGCGGGTGCGGTGGCTGCAGCTTCCTTCTGAGGACTGTTAAGAGCAGCAAGCGCTGCTTCATCAATGGTACTCTGCTTTACTCGAGTAAGCTCAACAAATGCACGCATCAGCTCTTTCTGAGTCGCTCGCCGTGTACTGAAGGGAAAGCCTCTGTTGCGTGGCTCATTGTGACGGAGAATCTGTCCTTCATACGGACCAAACAGAGTTCTCCGGTTCGTCGCGCCGGTCGCGCGAACAAAGATCAATTCTGCAGTATCGATCAAACTTTTCCAGCTAGAGAGTAGCTCGCGGACTTCGGCGATGAGTGCGGTCTCGTTATAGCGACGAATTGATGAACCGGCCGAGTGTGCGTTGCCTTTTGCGTTGTCGTTCGCTGATTGCGAGCCTCCCTGTTTCCGTCGTGTAGTGTATCTGTGGAAGGTCTTATGCGCAATTACAGTTGCCGAACGCTCGTCGAATCCTGTGTGGTTCTTCCCTGTCTTTGGTGCCAGCGCCACTATCATTGCAGCGAAATGACCACCGCCTATCATACAGAGAAAAAAATGCGGCCCAATGTATGTGCCTGGTAGTGGGACACCACCCTCATTCGCCTTGATCTTGGGAGGCTGCTTTGGGGATAGCTGCTTTGCGCGTACAGTGTCCAGGATATGTGACTCGTCCTCCTGCTCCGCATTCGAGAAGATCGCGCGATAGACGCCCAGCGACATATTTTCGGGTATCGAGGGTGACGAGAACCATATCAGCGGAGGCTTGCCGGAACCTCTCTGCTTCTTCCTTGAGGCAAAATCCTCGAATTCCGGATCTGAAATCTTGGCCTGCTTCTTCAAAAGTGCGCTTAATGTCGAGTCCTTTGCCTTCGCCCCTTCTTCATCTTCATCGTCGTCGGATTCCGATGACTCAGACCCTGATATGCTCTCGTCCAGATCTCCGATGAGCTTCTCGAACTCGACCTCGCCTACAGGCTTTGCGCCTTTTATCTTTTGCTTGAGGTTGTATCCATGGAGGTCGGATCGGACATGAGCGCGCTGGTCTGCAAGGGATGCGAAGCTGAGCCCACAGAGGTTGCACGACGTGGCCTTTGCCGGGCTGCTGCTCTCGTCTTCGGCGGTATCGGGAGATTCGCTCGCCGCCACAGGTGTTGGGATCGGTATCTCTTCTAATGGCTGCTCAGGCTGGTCCTTGAGAGTGAGTGTGGCTAACAGCTCTTCGGGAAGATCAAACACTGCGGATGTTAGTTCCGTGTGGACTAGGGGAGCAGGTATCTTACCATAGAGAGGGCGCTGCAATAGATGGTCTCCTTTTTGGGCCATTGTAAATTGTCGAGAGTGTTGGTCAAGTGTGGTAGGTGGTATGCGATCGTGAGCAGAAGATTCGGAGGGGCGCGTTGTAGGTTGAACATGACGTACATCGCAGCCTTATACGCGAGCCATCGGGCGCCCAACACGCTAATCCCTCACCAGCGCGTTCAGCCCTTCACCACCCACCAATCCTGCAAACGAATTTCACGCGTCAATCACCAGAAATCACGGCCAGGACATGAAGAATAAGCTAAAGCGCCTTTGTTTTCGCAGCGTCGCGCACACAAATTAGATTACGCATACTCCGCATCAGCTACCTGCACAAACACCCACCCTGGCTCTACGTAGTCCAGCAATTGCAGTGGATCCGGCCCCTCAATATGAGCGGGAATTGACACAAAGTCTATGTTGCGCTCGGCAAAGCACTGGTGTAACTTCGCAAAATCTGGTGGAAAGTGACCCAAGAAAGGTGGCCAGTCTGCTACAGCAACTCTCTTCAGAGACAGCTTCGGAGAAGCCATTTCAGCGAGATGACGCAGCATCTCTGTCGGGCCCTCCCACCCCTTTGAACCCCAGTGTTCTTGCCAGTCAATCTCAAAGCTCACCTCTTCCAGCGATGGTGGAAGATGATGGACTAGTTTCGCAACGAAATCGGAAGTACAATTAATCGGCTCGTCGTCGTGTGTTATCAAGCCCATATCCAACGAGCGAAGACTTGTCATATTCGAAGCCAGGCGTGCTATCTGCAGCACGTGCCCCTGACAAAGCATTTGTTGGTCGCCCCGGATGGAGAGACGCTCAATCGTGGCGCGATTGTGTATGAACGCTCCCGCAAGCTCGCTAAACTTGGTCAAGAGGCTTGGAGAGTATATGCCGCGTTGATCTGCCAAGGAGAAGATGCGAAGTCAGCGTATGCCTTACATGGAGTTCGTACAGTTCTGTTATTACCATTATTGATGTCCTGTTCGTAGGAGAAACTCTTCAAATTCCTGCAAGCTTCGGTGAAGTACCTCAGCGTCGGCACCTCCACAACGGATCGTTTCAGCGTGATCTCCTGGACTTGAGAGGATGCGGGATCTAGCACAGTCTGAATCGGAATGTCTTGGTCCCAAGCCGGGCGTTTGTCGTTCTGATCGAGGAGCACTAGGTCCGAAGCGGTAAAATCGTGGAGTGAAGGAAGGAGGAAAATGTATGCTATGGCTTCTAACGAGAGCGGACCGTGTATGTTGATGCTCTTCAGGTGTATAAAACGATCTGAATGGTTCGCTATAGTCGTGAACCAGTATTTGTCGTCTGGCCAGAAGGCTTTGTCTGCGACGACAAGTGTATCGACATTTGGGGTGAACATCAGAAGTATCTCGAGAAATTCGTCATCGCGTCGTGTGCCAGTAGCATTAGACATCAATCTGTCCTTTTCTGGCAGCTCTAGAATCCTAATGCATATGAGGAAGACTGCTTGATTCTCCGCGCTATCGTCATGATCGTCGAAATCGTGCTTCCACGTGAGGTTTCGCACTCGATTCCCAAGCTCTGGATTTGCACATAGCGTACGTAACAGTGGCCAAGGACGTCGTACGAAAAGGTTTCTGTACAAATGATCGAGCGAAAGCGTGTACATCCGCCGGCTGGTCAGACTAAGGCGACATATGTCCTTAGCGTTCTCATTTGGAATGCGCTCGATGATACCCATAACCAACTCGTTGGGCAGAGCATTGAAGGGGCATGAAGATGGTGCAGTGATCGACATGGTGGCTGTCGAATCATCTGGGCGGATGGCTGGAAGGTAGCATGCGTGGACGGGCACTGCCGCAGATGGGTTATACAAGCGGCTTAGACTTGAGATGCATCATGCAAGAGTTATATTCACTCAATTTTAAGAGTAGGACGGTCGTTACATATGTTGGCAGAGCACACGAGCTTCCCCGCGTTGGGACGCTAATCCTTAGCGGCAGTTAGACCGGTCAAGCACGTGTTGACAATAATGGCGAATCATCTGCTAACATTACACCGATATACAAGCGACTCAAACCCCACAAAGCTCTTAGAAGTATCCTAGCCGCCTGCAGCAGTCTTACAAGAATGCAATTTTGCCCAGCTTCATGCGGTTGTGGGTTGGACTTTCTAAAAGCAATGAGCCGCAAAAGCGTCTGTTTTGTGTACCCAGAGCCAATCAGACTCTACATCTTCTTTGATAGCCAGCGGCTCCTGTCCCTCGATATCTTCGTAGACTACATGGAATTGCATTCCTGAACGTTCATATACCCGCTTCAGAACCTTAAGCTCGTCCGGGAGGGGAAACCAGCCTGCCAGTGCAGGCCAGGTGATATAGATCTGTTTCAATCTGGACGCCGAAGAAGCAGCGGCTTCGACCAAATGTGACAAGATGCCGATGAGGAATTGTAGCTTGGATTCTTGGCCTAGCTCATAAGTCCACTGAAGCCGTAGAGATTCGAGAGTGTCTGGAAAGGTTTTGACAATCTTTCTCGCTATAGGATGTAGGTCTTCAGGGTGTGGGGACTCCGATTGACTGAATGTTTCAATGTTGCAAGGACCAATATCCAGAGTACGGAGTCTCGGGAGTGTAGGTCCGGTAACATGATAACATAGCGATGACAGCTCCGTTTCCGTC